CATGAGTTAGAGTTTAACTATTTTTATTTTAAAATAAGAATAAATAATTATTTTTAATTAACCTGGATATTCAACCTGTTATGCGAGTCGACTAATCTTAAGATGACCACCTGTTTTGCGGGTAGTCCGGAGTCACCGCATCTGAACCTCCATGACCATAAAGAAAATTTTATTTTATTTTGGATTTGAACCTAAAACTTCCAAGACACTTTTAATTTTTAAAGTTTAAGCTCAAACCAATAAAACAAAACATTACCCATGTGGCTGAATAAATAACTGATTGACAATTGAAGGTTTTTAATTGCACGTTGACTACTCGTTTTCACCAAACACATACAACACGGCGGGATGTTGCAGGATGGCATGGGCTGCTGGACCACCTTTCTAAATTAAGTTCTACATCTTATAAATTTTTTAAAGGAAAATTGCATTAAAATGAAATCAATTTTCATTTGATTCTTATTTTGAGGAACCAACTTTTAAAATCGTATTTTAGGAAACCAACTTGCACCTGATTCATATTTTGGGGAACCAACTTGCAAAATAATTATAAAACAATAACTAAAATTCGTTTTTTTCAAAAATTAATGCAATAAAATCTATTTTTTTTTTTAAAATTCAGATATCAAATTGAAGATTTTTATAAAAAAATCTAAATTACCACAATAAAAATTGTTTTTTACTAATACAATAAAAAAATCAATTTAATAGAAAAAAATTAATTAATACAATAAAAAATAAATATTAAATATCACATTCAAAATTTTTATATCTAACCAATCCGTAGTAATATTAAAGTTTAAATCAAATTTGACAAGTCAAACCAAAAATTTGATAGAGACCCTTAAATTACCTGTTACATGTTCAACAGATCAACCAAACCTTTAAATAAATAAAAAATTTGATAGAGACCCCTAAATGACGATTGTGAAAGTTGGTTTCCCAAAATAAGAATCAAATGAAAGTTGGTTCCATTTTGATAGCAATTTTTCCATCTTTTAATTTAAATCTAATTTTTTTTAATTAAAATAAATTCCATTCAAAATAATCATCTGATTTTTTTTTGAACTACAAAAAACTAAAAAAAAATATCTCGAAATAAAAAAACAAAATAAATCAGAGGAGATTTATGATAACCACCGCAGCAAACCCCAAGTGTCAAAACCGGCCGGTTGGCCCCGATTTCCCTTTCTTTTTTTCAGAAAGGATTTTGTCATCAATCACGCTTCAAAGAAAAAATGGAAGATAATATAAATTATTATTATTAATAACACTAAATAGAGAAAAGAACGTATAAAATTATAATCCTTATTGTTAATTAATAACTACTAATAAAATAAAATTAATAAAAGGGAAAAGTTTAATAAAAGTAAATAGATTTTAGTGTTTGGAATGCTTAAGTTCTTGAATAATTTTTCGGAACAAATAAGTCTTTGTACATTCCAAAACATATTAAACAACTTCTTAGACTTTTTAAAACTTGTTAAATACATTTCTATAACTTACAAAACTAATTAATGTGGTAAAATAATGGAAAAAGCTTGAAAAAAAATTAATGAACTTTCATATTTTGAGCGATTAGGTCTATAAGTACTCTTTTGGTTCAAAAAACGTTTAAAGACTTAATCGTTTAAAATATGAATGTCCATTGGCTTTTTATCATTATTTTACTACATTAACCAGTTGTATAGATAATAAGAATGTATCTAACAAGTTTTAAAAAATCCAAAGAGTTATTTAACATGTTTTAGAATATAAAAAGACTTATTTGTTTAAAAAAATTATCCAAAGACTTAATCATTTCAAACACTAAAGTCCATTGTATTTTTTTTGGACTTTTCACTTAATAAAAATATATTTTAACGAGAAATTAAGATATTTAAAAAAAATAGAAAATGGAAGGGATCCCAAATAAGGAAAAACGACACTTGGGAAAAACAGGACCAAGCCTTTTCTGTGGGACACCATTTATTGTCCGGTAATGAAACAAAAAAGTATATGTTATACATTTCTTTCTGAAAAATTAAAGCAAAAATAATTGTATTTAACTTAGGGAAAATAATAAAACTAACCATTTTATACAATCCTTTTACATAAAATAACCAGTTTTTAGGGGTTTTACAAAACTAACCACACGGATCTCCCCTGGGGTGATCCGGCCTTTTTCTTAGAAAAAAAATTTAAAAATTCTTTTTTTCCACTTGGGGCGAGCCACGTCATCGGATCGCCCCCGGGGGAAATCCAGGCTTTAAGTATTTTTTTTTTTCTTTTCTTTGTAATACCAATATCACTATAAACACCAACCTCCTATTTCATAATTTTTCATACATTCCCTTTCATTTCTCTACTCATATATTCCACTCTCACAACTTTTAACCCATTAAACACAATCAATCATCACAAAACATGAAATCAAGTCAAAGTGATGATGTTTGTGTGTATCTTCGAAGTGACGGTTAAAGCCCGTACGCATATATACGTTAAAAATACGTACGTAAAACGTACGTGAATATACGTAAATATGCGTACGTGTTAAAACCTGTACGCATATATACGTTAAAATACGAAGTTTCAATGTACGGATCGCCCCCGGGGGAGATCCGTGTGGTTAGTTTTGTAAATCCCCTGAAAAATGGTTATTTTGTGGAAAATGGTTGTATAAAGTGATTAGTTTTGTCATTTTCCCTTTAACTTATTACGAGTATTGAAATATTAAAAGGGTATTTATACAATGTAGCGAGATACACCTCGATTTTATTGTTTTCTTTTATTATTTGCCTATTGATATAATACAGTTTTATATAGTTTTGAGAAAGTGACAATGTTTTTATTTTTAAATAAAATATAAATTTAAAGATATTGTAATTAAAATTTTGAAAAAAAAGATCGATATTAGTATCAAATTAACTATTTAAAAGTTTCCGTTTTTGTGTAATTTATTTGATTCAATTTTTTTTTATAATTTAATTTAGATTCAATAACGAATCAATATATTTTTGGTTTAATAATAAGATATTTTATAATTTAGTTTGATAATGAATCGATTTAGTTTTGGTTTAATAATATAATATTTTACTAGAAAGGTACTCACGCAATGCAACGAGATATATCCCGATTTTAATGTTTCATTTTTTTTGAGTCTATGTCGATTTTATAATACGAATTTATGTGATTTTAAACAAACAATAATGTTTTTCTTATAAAATATAAATTTGAAAATATCCTAAAAATTTAAAAATATATAAAAGTTTCATTTTTGTGTAATTTTTTTAATTTAATTTTTTTGTTATAATTTAATTTAGGTTTAATGGCAAAGTAATTTATTTTTGGTTTAATAATATAATTTTTATAAAAATAACAAGTATGTGTTCTGTTAGAACTCAATAATTATCCTAATTATATTTTAGATATATTTAAAATAAAATGTTATCCTATATTTGATTATGTTTATCTATAGTTAGTTACACGAATTCAAGTATGGAGCTTCAATAAGTTGTACATATGCATTATTTACTTGTAATCTTGAATTTTAAGTCATATGCATCAATAAACAGTATAAAAAATGATTTTTAAGAGTTTTTGTCAAATGCTTTATAATATAGTATAGATAAATATAATAATTAAGTATACTATTAGAACTCAACAATTATCCTAGTTATATTTTAGATTTAAAATGTGATGTTTATCTTGTATATGATAATGTTTATATGCAGTTAGTTATATAAATTCAAAAATAGAGGTTTAGTAAGTTGTACTTATGCACAATTTACTTGTAATCCTGGATTTTAAGTAATATGCATCAATAAACAGTATCTCATGAATAAAAAATAATTTTTAAAAGTTTTTATCAAATGTTTTATAATATATTATTTATTTATCTTATTTCAAGTATTTTTATTGATAAAAATAATTAAAAAATCATTTTTTCTCTCTTAAAGAATCATTTTTCGTGGGGAATTTTAGTATTTTTAAATAAATCAAAATTCAAAATCTTAAAAAAATCAACTCTAGTAGTTTATACATTTCGAAGAGTGTAACATCATTTCATATATTTAATAAAAAAATTCTCTCTCTGAACATTTAATTTAAAGGTTTTTTTATTTGTGGAAATATAAATAAAAAATTTATGTCTCTATTATAGTAATTATTTTGTAGATTTTTTAAATTTAAAACTTTTCTAGTTTTATAAAATGTTGTGGGGAATTTATCAAAACAATTCCCAAAATCTCAAATTTCTAGATTTTAGAAAATCCTCTGGGTGCTTTCACCTACTTCTCCATGTTAGATTTTTTTTTAAAGAATTTGTTCGAGAAAAAAATACCCATATTTTTTTTTTATTCATTTTTAAAAATATGTTATTAATTAAGGGATGTTTACCAACGCTTATCTGGGTAAGCGTTTATCAAGTCACACAACCTCACCCGATGAATACAGTAAAGATCAATAATCTTATCCATAAACAAAACAAGAACCATTACCCAGTAAGTAAGGGCAACGACTTTTACCACAATAAGCGCTTACGGGGTAAATTATTGCATACAATGTCATTTTGACGGACCAAAATCTTACCCGGTAGGTAAATAGTATTGTTAAATTTTACCGACAAACACTTGTCAGGTAAGTGTTTGGTAAATGACCCTAAATTAAGAGTATGAATCTTGGAATGACAGTATTTTCAATAAGTACTCTATTTTAGAAATGTAGTTATAAGTGGTTATTGAATTCTAACAGGTTTTTCAATGACATTATTAAATGAAAACTAATCATATCAGTTTCTTTTTTATAATTTTAATTCTTGTGAGACTGACTTACAACCTTGTATGTTTGTTGTGACTTTGACCAAATACCTCTTTTTAATCAAACGTAAAATAATATAATATAATACTCATCCAAAAAGATATATATATATATATATATATATATATATATATAGTGTAAATCTTTACAAATAAGTTTTATTTGTGAATCAAATTCAATGAAAGAAAAACTTAGAATTAAAAAAAAAAAGAATGCAGTCACTGCAGCAGTGAAACTGAAACATGAACCTTACCACAACCAATAAGCAATAAGCAAATACTAACATCATCACAAATCACACTAATAAGCACAAAAGCAAATGCAAAGCAAAGCAAAGCAACTAACCCTTCCCTATATAAAAGTAGTATATGTATAACTACACCCCAACTCAACTCAACTCAACTCAACTCAGTTAGCATCACTCACATTTCTTCATTCCCATCTGTATGCTAGCTAACATTATATATCATGTCAACTAAAAACAACCTTTCTCTTTTCTTTGTTATTGGCTGCTTCGTGTTAACCCCCCTCGTCCTATGTTCCTGCATTCCATCCACATACTCGTTACATCCAACTCATAACCCAAATATATACATATGTATGCATGCGTGAAATGTGCTAAAAATTGTAAATGAGTCAAAAAGACACAAACAGAAGCAGGTCCAATAAAACATAACCAAGGTAGGAATAGTCTAACATATCAGCCGACCCACTCTTTATTAGCAACTTAATGAGACTCGCTACATATTCAGTCAGCTATACATGATTGTTTGGTAGTGGCTTAATGATGTAGAAAGTGGCTTATTCAATAAGCTTCTAAAGGGGAACTTTATGCAGAAAACCAAGGTTTTTCTAACCCTGCCACTCCCAATTGTAAAAGTTGCTCATTGCATCTATGAAAAAACCCTTTGAAACAAAAACCTTCTCAATCTACATAGACAGATTAAGATTAATGCACACATACATCTTTATCCATACAGGACTTAATGGAGAACCAACCAAACAACCCCTAACTCCTACACAACTAATATAGTAATTTTTAGGTAATTTTTAGACAAGTCACCTAAATTCATAAGCACTTGAGTTATAAGTTATCTTCCATTTATGGTAATGTCTCAGATTCGAAGTATTATCAAATTAACCTATACATATCTACATTTAGTTTAGAGAATGTAACAAATTGCACATACCTGGTTGGGAGCAGCTGAGAGGTGTTGACAGCAGGCGCCTTTGAGTTCCCAATCCGTTTCACCCTATTATCCTGTTCCTTGTCAACACGCATTGCAGCTACCTCCTTCTCCATAGCAGCTACCTCCCTTCTCATCTTTTTTGCCTCAACCTCCATTGCCTTGGTTAAAGTATCTACTTTCTTTGCTAACATCTGAAACCAATATTATTATTATCAACCAACCATTGAATTATAGCACTTTTTACACCAATAAATAAGTAAGGATAAAGATATGAACCTCAATGGCATCATCCTTGTCTTTAAGGCTTTGATCCTTTTCATTACCAGACTTCCTCAAAGCAACCACTTCTTTCTGCAGCAAATCGTACAACAATCCCGGCACAGTATCCTCTGTTTCATTTCCATCCGGGTTTCCTTTCCAGGAACTATTCGGGGTCTCACGGTCCTTCATCCCGTCACATGATTCCCCAATATTAAAGGTAGGACTATTACCTCCACTTGAGATAAGTTTACCCCTGTCAAGTGATCGAGTTCCACCATCAAATGACTTTGATGTACCTTTTGCATGCCGCAACACTGAACTTGAACCAGATGGAAGCGTCGACCTTATCTGAAAGGATGGTGATCTTTTGGGTAAAAATCCATTGGAGGTCAACTTGGAAAAGTTATCAGCTCCACCTAAGGATTGGCGACGTGAAGAACAATTGCTCATGCTTTTTCCATCTGATGACCTCAACGTATCTTCTAGTACCCTAAGTCGAAGTTGATATTTTTCCTATGTTTGATATGGAAGGAATTAAAAATTGAAGTCATGGGAAAATATAGACAACCTTTGAGAAACAAGTAAACAGAAGATTACTTTCAACTGTGCTTCAGATTTTGCAGCACGCTCAGTTATGGCTAGCTTGTCCCGCAATTGCTGCATCTCACTCTGTTAACAGAAGGGTGAACTGGCAAGTCAATAATTAGAAAACAGATACGCAAAAATGCACGGGTAGAGACGAAAGGTACAAAAAATATTGCTCCATATAATACCTGCAAGAACCTTCTTTCTTCAAGCCATTGCTTTACTGGCATGACTTTGTCATTAGCATCCTTCCATTCGTTAGCTACAACTGTTGCCACTCTATTTGCTGTAACTTTTGCACGAGCTAGTTCTCTGTCCAGAGTTTTTCGTTCCTCCTACCAGTGAAAAACACCTAGTCATTTAGTTATGATGATTGACAAAGCATATCCTTGGAGAAATATGCATAAATTTTAAATCAACTACTGAATGGATGTATATTATATTTTACATTCATCTCTTGAACTTTCCGTTGATAGTCTCTCACAGCATTTGCAGCTGCACCGCCAGCAAGAACGGCCTCTTCAAGCTCACGTACAGTTTGGGTAAGCTTTTCAACCTCAGCAACTTTTTGACGATGCATTCTATCCAAAATTTTGTTTTCTTCCTAAAAAACAAGGAATAGTGAATACACATCTTGAAAAAATAGGGATGATCAATTAAAGCATTTGGTGTCTGATGCGAAACCACAATACCTGGCAAATTTCTATCTGCTTCATTAGTTCCTGATTCTTGTTCTGAAGATCATCCACCATAGATGCCTTTGCCAAGGCAACCTGCACAGTCCTCTCGGCTTCAAGTAAAGCAGCCTCTTTCGATTTAGTCAGTCGATCTAATGCTTTGTTGTCATCCTGCAGCTTTGCAATCTGAAATCCAAAACCACCACAAAGTAGTGTTCAAATCATTCATACCCATCTGCACTAAGTTGTCAACCACCATCAATCACCGTTAAATGACTAGCCAAAAGATAGAAGTCATACCTCTTGTCTAGCCAGCTTGAGCTCAGCTTCCAACGGTGCAAGGATCGCCTCGATTGGAGGCATATCATCATCTTTCTGAGCTGCATGAACCCTTCGTAGAGTGGCTTCCGCTGCAAACTGAGCTGCCATAGATGCCTTCTTCTCATCGTTGATTTTCTTGATTTCAAGATTCTACATAACCAAGAAGTGTGTCTAAATACATCTGATGCTACAATAGCTAGAGTATGGACACTAGAAGTGGTTCAGTCAATACCTTGCTTTCCAGAAGAGATTCTGTCAACTTCAGCTTCTCATCCACTTTCGATAACTCCTCAGTTAGCTAAGGTATACAGGTGGGATCAAGAGCAAAACTATGTTGGTGGTTTACTCAAAGTAGACTCAAGAAATCACATAATAGATACACAAGGGCAACGGAAAAGATACCAAAGAAAGTAATACCATTCAACAGTTTACATATGAAAATCCATACCATGGAGCTGTTTACATATAAAAAATTCCTTGTCAAAACTTGATTAAGCACGAGCATTGGGTTCAACACTCCCAATTCGCTTCAATTCATTGAAATAGATTTATCAAGTCATCCTAACATACTAACCAGCGTTAAGTGGGCTAAGCATCAACAACTTCCTTTTATTTGTCTGTTTTGTACTTCTATTTACGTTAAAGGATGGTTTTAGGGAAGGCCCACTGTTGCCATAAAATCATTTATAAATTATCAACAATATATTTTTTTCGTTGGCATACTTTTCTCACTTTTTTTGGTGAATGAACAAGATTACAGGGTTCTTTGTATCAACCATCAACATACATGGATGACCTCATATATATTTGCCTCCTACCTCAGATTCTTAATTTTACAACATTTAAACAATATAATTATTTAATTTCAAATCTAAGTTTCTTTCTATCTAGAACCAAAATGTTAAACTTCCATATGTATTGCCCTCCAACATTCTGTATGTGTAAATTTTATTACTGCTGTATTAATTATATGAACACAAAAACTGTGCCGCTCTACTCCATAGTTTATATAAACAAAAAACTGTAAGATACTTTTTTAAAAATACAAGCGGGAGCTTAAGTTTCCACTTAGATCCAATTAAAATCCAAGCGCAGATGTCCCTTGGTTGCTTAGATCTCCGCTTAACAACTATGAAAATTCACAAAAAAAGACATGCAACAACCTAGCCTTTCAGTGATATGATTTCAGATCCTTTTGAAGTCAAGAAAGTATATTAACAAACCCCAAGGGATAAATTGGTGGAATATTGGTTTCACACAAGTGTGAGGTCCCATATCCAATCACTTCTCATTCCTCCTTCATGCTAATTAAAAACACAAATCAATATATCAAAAAAAAACTTTGTTGATACAAGGAACCATGATCAATATATGACGGTTCAGGAGTGGATGGATCAGAGTTACTGGCTTAGTGCTTCTATCATGTCATCCCAGATAAAATGTTTAATGGAACATACAAGTCTGAAAGGGATACTTAAATACCCTAACAAGAAAAAAAAGAAATCAAATAAGTAAACACATGAGGAAAATAAATATAAAACCAGCAAATAGCATAAACAATAAGTAGACCAAGGAAACACACAAGATTAGTTGGTATATGGCATTCAAATGTATGAAATTAGCTCCTTTACTGGCGTAACTTAATAAAAACAAACGGCAAGTGGAAAATCTACCATCATAATACGGACAAATGGTAAGTGGAAAATTAGCTAAAAGGTGTTATCTGAAGACCATATTAGTAGATCTTTAGATTTACATCAAACCTAAAAAGGAAACACGAAACCTATGATAAAGTAACATTATTAGCAATTGGAAAAACACACCAAAATGGAAATTATTCTACCAGGAGGAAATTGATAAGAAAAACACAGAAAATATTCATCGCAATCAATCACAACACCAGAATAAAGAAAATACGAAATAAAATAAAAAAGGTATTCTCTAAATCGTATGGTCGTGTGTGATTCTATATTACATATTACATCTCATTCACCTCTCCTAGTCACGAACCCGGAAAAAGGAAATGACAAGATAGATTTGGCACGTGCGAAGAAACACATAGTTATATCTAAATCCAAGAACCACCAAATAGGAACATGAAAAAGCAAAGACCATGTTCCATTTCTAACCCATGAAATAGACTAAATACCAAAGAGTGAGTACCTCAGACAATGACATTGCACACTTTATTCACAATGGACAATATCAACGTCAAAACACTCAATACCTCATATTAGCATCAGTTCTATTCTTCAGAAGGATTAGGTAACTGAAAATAGTAATGAAAAAAATATATACTATAGCTTACAACTATAGTGTACAAAAAACACATATCTATCAAAGGAACAAAGTACCCATTAACATCATCGTACGCAATAATGGCAGATTGAAGGTGCAAAAGTTTAAAGCATGACACGAACAAATAAAATCAAAACTACATAGCCCTAATAAAGTACGAATTCATAGATGAACATGAGGAAGATTAAAAAAATCAGAAAATAATACCTCTTCAACGGCTTTTTCTCTCAGGCGTTCAGAGAGCCTGAGCGCTTTGATCTCAGCTTGTGATTCGCTCAATTCTCGATCCTTGTCTGCAGAAGAAGAAAACAATCAGGCAAAACCCTCGCTGGTTAAACAGTGAAAAAGAAGAGACAATCAACATTCAGACAAACCAAAAACATTCAATTAATCAATTAGATCATTTTGCATTAATCACCTCTGACTTCATTTTCCAACCGATTGAGCTCGAGCTTCACCGGATCCGAGCCGTGGAGCAAATTTATAAACTCATCCGCGTCTAAGCTCGGCCTCACCATAGGCCTCCTACGACTAGTAGTACCCGAACCCCTCCCTCCTCCTCCCCCATCCTTAAAAGATCCCGATACCGTCAACGGCGTTGTTTCACCAGTCGGAGGGCGTACATTGCCACCGTTATATTCTCCACCATACACCATCTCCGGCGTGTCCGTCATTCCCATCACAGCACCTTGGCCGGGTACCTCCTCCATGAGTCGGATCTGAAGTCAATCACGCATCAATCAGCTCCAAATCAAACCCTTTATCCTATAGGGTTTCTGAACTCTCAAGTACAAGTAACTAGACCGTATTTGTAAATTGTATGTCGTAAACTAGATATGGAAGTGTATGTATCGATGAGAGAGAGAGAGAGAGCAAAACCTGGAGAAGAATGGTTTGAAGTTTAGTCACTCCATAGACTGACCTCCATTTAAATCTGCATCGTCTCTCACTCTAACTTTTTTCAAGTGTTTTTCTCTCTCTAGAATCGTGCGTGTGTTTCGCAGTGTGTGTTTCGCAGTGTGTCTTCCACCGCTCTCTATTTGACTCGTAAAACTTACTTAACCCAATTTTGTAATAAACCAATCACATTTAAATTTGTCATTTTTTTATTTTTTATATATTAAATATTCTAACTTTAATTATTTTATTTTAATATTAAATATTCATAAATTTTATTCTTTTGCAATTAAAAACACTTAAATATTACACGAAAATTCAAAATATCACTTAAAATCTAAACAAAATGACAATTTTTTATTAAGAATTTATACATATAAATACAGTAAATATGTTAACTTGTTTATAGTTTCTATTTTTATGTAAATACAGCTTTATATTGAGACCCGTATGCAAAAGGTACATGTTCCGTACATTTGCATACTTTAACTTGTAAGACATTAAATCCGAACATACTTTAACATGAAAAACACTAGAATTTCACACGCATTCACGTAAAAACAGTAACGTTGTACATACATTCACTAAATTTCACACTTTCAAAAGAAAAATACCTTCACTTACCAAAGGGTCATTGACCCAACATCAGCAGTATCCGGTAACCTAACGTGAGGTGTATGTGTGAGTTTCGTCGTATATAAATATCATATACTTAAAAAAGATATGATGTTTTTCATAATAAAAACTTTTTAGTTAGATATTTTTCAAATTGCAAACATTTAAAGTTGTCTTAAAAGTATTCTCTATAATAACAATAGAATACAGAAATATAATATTTAACTTTAACAGATATTCCAAATTATAATCAAACACCATATTAAATTTTGGTTGCAGTCTGTTTTTGGTTTTCGTCTTTTTTTTATCCTCTTTTCTTTCAGTTTTTTTACGGGTCTTGTTATCTTGAAGCAGTTTTCTGTTTCTCATATAACCTCAACGCCTTTTTTATTTTCCCTTATTTGTTAATAAAATTTGTCTCCAAAAAAATATTTTAATTCCCTAAAATTAAAAACTAAAAATTTAGAGAAAAAAAAATTAAAATATTAAATTATTGATAGATCTTAACAAAGACATGTGCCAATTATTTGGCTTAATAATTCTAGATTCTTTTAAATCTTAAACATTTTTTTTTCTAAATAATGTCCTTCTAAAATTTATCAAATCATTATTTAAATAAACTTAAAATCAAATATAATGATTATAAATATCCATATTTTGTTTACAAATTACAATGAATATATTGATATTAAATATCAAATGGTTACAAAATATTTATTGAAAAATTATGAGATGTGTATTTTTAATAATCAAATAATAATAAAATGTCAATTTTAATATAAAGTAATAATTTTAAAATCATTGTCGAACGGTGTTTAATGTGGTTTTTCTTTAATTAAAGTAATAATTAGTTGTAACAATAGGATTTTTCCTTAATTAATTATGATATCGTGATGTAATATTTGTTTTAAGGCGAGTTTTGGGTATTTGAGTTTGACCTAAAGATAATATCGGACTTCGTGAATATGTCTCGTTTTGACTCGATGTATATTCACAAACTTTTGGAACATTATGTATGTAACACCATCATTTCTACCATGAAAACGTACATCATGCTCTCATTGTAATCTTCGCAACCAGAGACATAGTACCTCGATTTAACAAATACAACATCCGAACTCACAACTGAAACTTAAATAACAGCACAAGTCTTTCAAATCAAACATAAAATAAATTGGTTGACCATCAGCCATAACTTGTCTCGTACCAAATTATACATAAAGAATAGTGATAATAAGTCTAACTGGTCTAAACCCCGCCCCTTTCCTTTGCCTGAACTTGAAGTTCATGCTCCTAAATGTATAAAAGTAGTTAGCTATAAAACTTAACAAGTTTCCTAGTTTTTACGGGTTTTATGGTTTTTTATAAGTGGACTAGAAAATAAGTCGTTGAAAATTTTGGTCCCGAGGTAAGGAATAACCAGTTTGACACCCATCGTAATGATAAACGGCTCGTCTCGCCGTGACCTTCTCTTGAATTCTCAAAACTTTTTGTCGCTCCATCCCCAACAGGCACATGGTCAGAGCCCCGAGCTCCTCCCACTGCTTGAAATAAATCAAAAAATGGATTTTTGTTCATTTGAGATGCATATAGAATCATGTAAAAGCAACATGCTCACAATTACAAACACAACTACCGATTCTCCTTGCTTTTGCGCAGGTGGATCTGATCCTCACAAGAAAATCTGACTTGCCTATACTACTGACATCCTCCATATAGATACCCAAAAATACTTTCCTTAATCGGGTGTTGTCTGCCCGAAACACGTTTCTACTTCATTTACTCCTCCTCCCTCTCCATCTCATTGTCTCTCTTATTTGCTTTGTCACGAGAAAAAGAAACGGCCATTAATTCCAGTAATTTACATTTTGTATGTCAGTTTCCTCCTCCTAAACGTTGTCGCTTACAAACTCAACTCCTGCTACTTGAACTTAACTCAACTCTCTTTCAGTTTAGTCAATAAGCTTTTATTATTACACATCAACCCTTAAACTTTACTTTCTAAAATGGCAATAATTAACTGTTGAGTTTTAAGTCATTTATATCAGCCGAAAACATAGGCACATTTAGTTTTTTCTATTACACGTAGGCGGTTTGGGTTTTTTGTCCAAGTCACGATAATTAATACAACGTATAATGATACACCACATATTTTCAGTATTATTTGATATAATAATAAATATTAACGCAGTAACTAAATCTCTATTTACTATCTAGCCCTTTTTATGATCTCTATATATTTTTTTATTAACCTGGATATTCAACCCGCTATGCGAGCCGACTAATCCTAGGACGACCACCTGCTTTGCACGTAGCCCGGAGTCGCCGTATTTGAACCTCCATGGCCACAAGGGGATTCTTGTTTCTCCTTAGATTTGAACCTGGAACCTCCTGACACTTTTGATATTTGGAGCCAAGCTCAAACCAACCAGACACCACCCTTGTGGTATGTTCTTGATCCATACAAGTGGAGCTTATTAGTAACAGGATGCTAAAAAGAAACGTTAACAAGTAAACTACACGCATAATAACTATTTAAGTTTTAGCTCATGTCGTTGTTGTGATGGTCATATACAAAGGAGTTTAAAGTTACATCTAAGTGATTGTTCATTTAAACAATCTAAAGACTCGGCTCACGAAATATCGACCTTTTATACAGAAGGGGACCATACAACATTTCAAAAGCAAAGCAAACCTGATTAGACTACGCTTGAAAATTTGAAGATGTTGACTCTGCTAAAAAAGGACTTATATCAAATCACCCTTTAATTGATGGGTCAAAAGATTTGGTACCGAGTTAAAACGGATAATCTATTAATGCTTCAAAACATGATAAGTTGGACGATAAAACTATGACTAGACAATGTATTAAATACGATTACAAACTAATTTTTTTTAAATAACGATTTAATCTATACTATATTATAAAATATTTAGGGGCTGTTTGGCAATTGCTGAATGGTTTGGTGCAGAATGATTATGTGGTCAGAATGATTAAGAGACTCTCATGGTATAATGTAAAATGAAATATAATTGTTTGGTAATTGTGTAAAATGAATTAGGGCTCTTAATGGTTAAGGGAGATCTATGATACAAAATCATTCAGAGGGTTTTAGAACCACTAAGAGGCTGACTTTTTTTTTGTCAAACAAGATTCACCTCTTAATAATTCAGATGTTGTCTCTTAATGAAACTATTAAGAGGTAAACAAACAACCCCTTAGAGGTCATTTATTAAACACTTACTTGGGTCGTTTATTAAACACTTAGGGGCCGTTTACCAAACGCTTACTCGGGTAAGTGAACACCAAGTCATTTTACTTTACCGGATGAATATGGTAAAGATCAAGAATCTTACCC